ACACACTATATTTATCTTCCTCCTGTCATATTTTTGACTAAGACCAGCTGTGCCTCCTGTACCTCATGTTGAATTCATTGTCAATCAAATGCATTGGGTACTCTGGTCATGCTCAAGAAATAAGGTCTACTTGAGAAGTCATGTTCCCTACCTGTTTTTGAATTGCAGTAGACACTGCTGTCTAGAGCCTATGGAGGTAGCTCCATAAGTTTAGGTTGCATTGTCCTCCCAAAGTCCAAAATTTTAATTGCTACATGATTCCAGATACTAGTGAAAAGTTGGTGTTCTGAACTGCTTTGGGGCATGAATGCCTAGATTTTGCTTAAACTGAACTCAAGAGTTTCTCTAGTCCCTTATCATAGACAATCCACTCTCACGGTGACTTTATCTTTACCTCGCTTACTGGTAAGTGACTTAAAAAAACCCCAAAACAAACCAAACAAACCTAAAAAGTTAGAAGAGCATGTTTTATAGAAGCATTGCAGGTATCTGTTCCTGTAACTTTTCCTCAGAAACACACTGAAACTGAAGGGAAGCCAAGATTGCAGCACTCTGCTACACTGCAGAGCAAGAATGTCAAGTGCATGGCAAACATCTGCAGCACTGGGGTAGTCTGAGCATCTTCCAAGCTGAATGAAAGTATACTCTGCCAACAGCTCTTCACGTTCAAAATTTATGGAAGTCCTTTATGTTTTTAAAGAGTCATAGTGGGAGTTTAATAAGGCAGAGCTTAATCTGTCTCTAAACACCAGAGATAACTTTCATTTTGGAGTCTTCTGAATGGCAGGTACAGCCCATCTACTGGGAAACTAAAGCAGCTTTCTCTGCACATCAGGTGAACTTGCGTTATTGCTCTGTGTAATTCTATCCAAGGTGAAGTGCGGCTATTATATTATGTCAGTCCCTGAGTAGGAAATAAAAAGAAAAAACCAAACAGTGCTGCAATATCTGGTGAAACAAGGTGCACCTTTATATTTATTAGAGAGTATGAATGCAGGCAGAGAAGAGAACTCAGCGTCCACCAAGACAACCCATTTGAGAATTTGACGTGAAAGAACTGCTCCCATTGGGAAGGTGACTTTCTCAACTCCCCTAGAAGCTGTGACACATATATTTTGTTTAACATTTCCTCAGTGACAGGTAGCCATTTTGCAGGTGCTACAAATCTGCAGTAGCAAGATGACTGCTGCCTGTCTAGCGAAATATAGGATTGTACAAATAACTTTGGATCTGGTTGTTTCTCAAGGCGATTCCAAACACTGGTCTCTTCTCTTACTTCAGTAACGTGCACTAGATTTGATTCCTCCCTTAATTTAGCATTTACACCTTTTCCAACGAGACAGAAAAATACTAGTTCCAGTTTAAAATGACAGAGGTAGAAAAGATAACTGACCTTAAATCGCCCAAATCCAGGCCAATACACTAATGGATGGTTTGGGGACAAAGTACCAATCAGCATAGTATCATCAGCATTTCAACTTCTTAGGGACACACGTTAGATGACTAAGGAAATTCAAACTTAAGCTGCTTTACATTTCAGACAATACTATTTTTGTCAATTTTCTGAGTAACTGTAGAAAGAAGTTGGTTTAATGTGAAATTACAATGAAGAAATGCAATCGACCTCAGTGTCAGAGATCAGATTACACATGCAGTGGAAGTAGTGGAAAGCGAGACTTCCGCACAGGCGTTGGCAAACTGCAGTAAACCAGCACACCCACAAGGACTTGAGGAACCTGTACAATTATGATTGCCAGGTGTTTTCACTACAATGTACCTCAGATACAGCCTGCATTCTGGAAACAAACCCACCCAAAATTACCTTCAGTTCGTATTTTTCTGCTCCATCTCTCAAAGCAGCAGTAACTGTAAAGAAAAATACTACTGCAACCAAACCATGCATTGTGTTTCCATCAAGTCTGAAGAACTGAAAACAAGAGTTCTCTGCAGTGCTACACTAGCAAACAGGCAAGAGTCTCAAACACTGGTCTTTGGAACAGTTTTAGCCTTTTGAAGCACTGGATTTTCTTCCAAACATTATGCTTGCACCTGAAAGGCAAGCTGGAGATCCAACACCTGGGATTTCAGTGAGATTCGCCCAGCCCCAGCAGGTAAGGATCACTGTAATGTCCCCTGGACGGTGGCAATTAGCACCAGAGCTCCTGGCTGACCAGCAGCAATCCCACTTCTGTGTGGCATGCAGCCCTTTCAGAGAAAGCACATATCCAGATTAAGAAAAGGAACGATAAAACACCTCCACCTTTTTTTTTTCTTGTTGTTAAGCTGGGACACTGTGCAAAATTCTTTTTCTACAAGATATTTTTAAAAGCTTCATTCTTCAGCTGCAAACTGACATTTTGCAGTGAAATATATTTTTGTACCGTCTAGAAATTCATTTTTTCACATTTCTCCCCAGAGGCACTGCCATCCGTGAAAATTATAACCATGCCAGTGACGTTACCGCGTTAAACAACTGGCTTTTTCATAACTAAATGGTAAGTTTAAAAGGAAATAACTCTTCTCAATGGGTAAGTTTGTATCATGGTTAAAAGGAAACAAGTCCCAACTATCCAGAAGCCTTATACTTGGCTTAGCCAAGTACGTAACAGCACGTGGCAGGTACCCAAAGACTGAGTTGTATTCAAGCTTTGTTTCTAAGCCTTCGTATAAACTGTGGGCAACTCACTCCATGTCTCTGAGGTTCTGACCCACATTACACACCAAAATGTACTATTTAAGGTGCCTTTGTTTACAATTTTTAAATTATCTTCCAGAGTGCTAGATGAGTGTAACATAATACCCTAATACTGCTTCAGAAGGAGAGAAGGAGATCCCAAAGGAGGATGAAAGAGCACAGGCACTTGTCACACTAGATTGCAGAGGTGATTTTAAGAGCAAAAGTAGACCTAGGCACAATTTGATGCATATTCTGTCTTTTCAAACTGAGGTTGTGCATAATTTGATGTGTATATTGCCTTTTCGAACAGAGCATGTGTACACAACCATCCCACTCCTATACTGTGACCTTAAAGTAAAAACAGAAAAATCTTAACAGTAATATCCTGCCAGTCCCCTAATGCATTTTAATATTTTAAATCAGCAGTTTTGACTTGCGAGCTCTGTAGACACATTTATCATTTGGCTATGCAACCATACTATGAACTGTCAACTCTTCATCACTGTCCACTTTGACAAATTACTCTCGGAACAGCATTTCCAAGTTATCCTTAGCAGCCAACACACCTCATAAATCCACATCATTGTAGTGTTATTAGAATTTCATTTCATGCTTGCATTCGCAAACATTTAAGCTTTCAACCTCTGCTGCTGGGCATTAATCATGGAATTAATCATAAGATTAAGGGTGCCAGATTTAAACTCAAGGTTAATAACATGCTCACCCAATATTAGTTTTACATTCTGTCATGGGAAAACACTTAAAAAAAAAGTACAGGACCTTTGTCTGAAGTCACCAAATATACACATAGACTAATTGTACTGCTGTTCCATCATGAAACGAGAAGCTGCCCAAATTCAATACTGCTGCTTAAAGAAAAATTTCAAATTCAACAACTATTTGGCCTCTTTAAATCTGCTTGCATTTTGCCATGAGGATGAGCTAAAGACCAATTACGAAACAACTGACAGCATCAACTGGTTTTTCAACACTGATTATAAGATTGTCACAGAAAATACTGTGATTTAACAGAAGTATAAAATAATAAAAGTAATTTAAGAATATTTCCCGCATTCAGTTGATGTATATCTTCATTTTTAAGACACATCTGCATTAAAAACATGAAACGCTTGCTGGTTGACAGAATACTGATGTGCAAACGTAAATCCGCTGATGCTAAAACATAACCTTTCAGCAGAAACTTAGATCAACTTCAGATGATTATGAAACCCTATCTCTAGCTTCTAAGATAAATAACAGGATAAATAATACAGTCATCCAGTATCTTTTCCTTCCCCAGCTTTGTAGCCCATAAATAAAACAACATTCGGTACTAGCAGTGGAATGATTCAACCCAGCCTTTTTTATCTCTTCAGATACATGTTTTGGGTATGCATCTCTTACTGCTGCTTCAAGCAATGCTCCCAAAAATTCAATGACAGTCAACTGAGTAAATTAACAGAAACTGCTTGCATTACAACCAAGTTATTCATATAATAGACTTACTGTTTTAATCCCAGATACATAATTTTAAAACCCAGCCCCATCCCCCCAATCCTTGCAGAAACTACAAGATTAATATTAGTTTTCAACTCTGCAGCCACATGGGCTCTTGCAGTTCTTTACAAGCACCACTAGATATCAATACTACTTCCAAGATCAGTTGCCGTAAGTTATCAAATTCTACGACTAAGAAAAAAGAGGTCAAGTGATCAAATACACCTCACTGTTTCTGGCACACACACTACAAGCCAGTAATGGAGCTCATAAGAATTGATTGACAAAATTCATTCTTGGAAAACAAGTGTTACATAGGGAACAGGAAGCCTGTACAAAAACACCAGAGCAAGCACCTTACTCAGCTGTGTACAACACTGGGCTTGTGGTTCTCATTGGTACCAAAAGCTTTAGCCAATATATCTACAACTTCACTAAAAAAATGTGACTTTGAGGTTTTTTTGTTTTCTGTTAACAGACTCTGCAATTCATGATCAGTCTCCAAGCAGGAAGTGGCCATGCTGTTTAGGAGTATGTACCATCTAGATTCACTTTCCAAATGCCTCCCTATTACTACCTCAGGAGCTACACAGAAAGCAACAGAGAAGGTGTTCAGAGGGAAGGATCTGTGAATGAGCTTCACACTTTGGTTTAACAGGATACCTAATGTGGGCTCCCTGGAGAGCTGCTGCTTACATCACTTCAGTTATAAACGTGAATTTTTCTGAAGGAAGTTATGATTTCCTTTGAGAAAAGTTTGCAAACAGTTACCCAAAATATGGAGGCACTATGATGTTCCCCTTCTGCAGATTAAGAGACTACTAACCTCACTGAGGTAAATAAAAAAGGAGCATGTGGACCCATCTACACCGTAACTTGCATAACAGGGATCTGATCGCCACATATCTTTCATCCACTGTAACAGAACAGAAACATAGTCCGTTAGGTTTCCACATAATAACTTTATATTAGTTCACACTGCCCTCAGGAATTACAGGAGAAAGCTGCAAGCGACTATATCCAAGCAGATAAAAGTCACAAATAATAAATAAGGAATTTTATTAATATTTTGGAGCATACTGTGTGTCAGCATTCAGCTACACTAGGGAAGTTACTGCATACCAGACGTGAGCACAGTTTGTATAAACTGGTAGCCAGGCAAGCAGAGAATAATATCAAAAGGAGAATTATAATCAGGATCCAGACATACGGGTGTGGCTGGAGCTGACTGCATTGCTCCCCCTGTGCTACACTTGCTCTGGAATTTAACAGATTATTTCAGTTACCAAGATTGAAACCTGCCCGATTCTGCCAAGAATCAGCCATCTCTGCAGAAGCAAGTAATTAATTTAAATTAATATTTTAATATTCAAATAATGCATTACATAGTCACTATGCAGCCTGTTTGTCAAAACGGATCAAAATAACAGACAGATTTAAAACTTACAGATTTTTTTTAAGTACTACAGTCTAAGAATTTTATTTAAAGAAGGCAATATCATTTCATATAGTTATTTGTTTTCACTTTTAAAAATAAATTGTAGTATTTGTCAATGGTATTTAAGTAATTTTACTTCTGTTGTATTTTCTTTTCCAACTGAAGTCTGATGGCTTTCAATATTAGGCCTTTCCAACTGCATTATTCGTAAAACACAGGATTTATGTAGAATCAACTGTGAACCCCAAAGTTCAGGTAGCACACTTAGTGCAGAGCCCAGCTGGTGAGCACAAGAGGCAGAATGCTTTGCATAGAAAAGAGCAAGGCAGGAACTGGACAGAGCTGTTGGCAAAGAGGGAAAGTGAGCGCAAACAAATGTCTTGCTGAATCAGAGACAGGGCTGGAGTGAGGTACAGACAGAATCCCAGCCTTGGGGTAGGGCAACACCAAATGACTCCTTCATGGGGAAGAAAACAAGGCTTTTCAAAAAGGACAGGGAAGTTTCTGACTAACAAGACAGCATTCAAATACTAAAGCATTTTATTAAATAATACAGCATTTTAATATAATATGGCGTTTTATTCCTGTCTGAATAGGGTGCCACTTTATTTCTCTGCAGCAGCAGTATTAAAGGCTTGAGGTGAGCACTGCTGCAGTGAGACACACACCTAAACATCCTCTTTTTTTGATGCCATTGTCTGAGTAGTCACCTCCTGCAACATACGTTCAGGTTTTAACAGAACACACATAGTAAGATTAAAAACAGTTATTTACCTTTATTTTCCCTTCACAGTGAGGAAAACCATCCATAGGAGGCAATTCACACTGTTCTTGGGCTCCATTGATGAGATCTAAAGTGAAACACAAAGCATAACTGGATTTCATTTTACAGCTCTGACAGATAACCTGACGAAGCCTTCCTTTTATTTTCATGAATCCACAACCCAGACTGACTGAAGGGTCCTACTGTGTAATATTAGTTACAACGTTAAAACTCAGTGTGTCCTCTTTTTGACTACAGAAGAAAATGGTTGCATAGATTTCAATTCTGACTTGCAGTAAAAGTGCTGAATTACAAAAAACGGATCTATGAAGACTTAAAAAGCTAATCCAGACTGAGAATAATAAAAAGTATCTTTCTAATCAAAGTGTGCTTAAAACCACTAAATTGCAACAACTTGTTTCCGATTGTCAAACATTTGTAAGACGTATATTGCTCTCAAGCATAAAAACTAGTTTTTCAAGTTCTGTTATCACTTTATCAAATACCCATGATCTGTAACTTGGCATCAGATACACAACTCCATTAATAAAGTTTTCAATATGATCTAAATTTACAGCTGTGTAGCAATACCTCACACCTCATGAGAAAAATTTCCTACGGTCTCAAGAATTTTTGACTTTTGCCGATTTTATTAGTCTCGATTTTTGCAGTTATTTCAGGAGTGCAGTACAGAACAACACTTCCAGCCCATGAGTCAGGGAAAAAGGAGCAGTTTTAAAGGACATTACCACCATTACCAACTCCAGCACAGGACTTTCTCCTAAGAACTTAGAAGAACCCGTTAACGCAAGCCTTTAATGGAAGAAAAATGACTAATGTGGTGGAGATTCTTGCCAAAGGCAGTGCAGGAGAAGGTTTTCAATTTAGGTAGTTCATCCCAGAGTTAGCTAAATTATACCTGCATTATTTCTGGCTTTCCCACGGGCAAGAATCAAGGTCATTAAAGCCAGCCATCCATCAACCTAGGAACACTTCATGCTATGGCAGTTACAGCGCACTACTTCACCCAGAGTGCGCTAATTAGAGAGCTCAGGAGATAAAGAAGAAAGGCTGCAACATTAGCATAGAGTAAGGACAAGATCAATGGATAAAAGTTAGAACGTTGTACTAGATACAAAAATACCTCCTGATTTGTCTGAGTGTTTTCCATATATTTTTGCAAATAGTTTCTTTTAAAGATAGAACTTGAAATGTGAGTGAAGCACTGCAAAATAGAGCTGATGGGGAATGAAGAATTACACCAGGAAGAAGACACTTACCTGGCAGTCTCTGCAGCAGCAGTAATTTGACAAACTGAGCTGTACTGCCAATGACAATAACACTGAAGCAAAGTAGTTTTTAAGATGACTTTGTAATTTCAAATCAATATGCACTTTCAAAATATTCTCCTGTATCTTCCTTATCCTCAAAGGATTCTTGCAGACTAGACCACTGATATCTACAGCTCTGCTTTCTGCTCCAAGTAAGATCGTACAAGGCATGCATACAGATACCAAGCATTTAAAAATATGTTCTAAATTCAGTCAGTACAGCTAGGTAACAACAGGACTCTTTGCTTTACCACAGCTCAGTAATCAGACTTCCCACTTGAATCAGACCGAGATCAGTGCTTGAGATCAAACAGTAACAAACCTACCTTAAACCAAAATGAGGCATGGCTAAAATGATGGCAATTTTCAGTAATCAACACAATGCCAGTACAAGAGCTTTATGGTCTAAACTGGGGGGGTTAGGGGTTTTTTTTTTTTGTTCTTCTCTCTTTTTTTTTTCCCAACAAACTCATAAGCCTGAATACAAAATAAGTCTAGAGCTTTTTATAAAGTATGTCAAATTCAGACCTTCCTAAAACATAAAAGACATCTTAAATCTATGATACAACATCAGAGACGCAGTTCAACTGCAGGGAAAGTTTAACTCACAGAATCATACTGAACCTAGGGTTCAAAATTGTGAATGTCTGGGCGTTCCTATTCAATCAAACAAGTCTTCCTATCAATTTCAGCTGCACCTGGACAAGTTATACTTGCCATGCTCAAAGGAGTTTTTGCTCCCTGCAGCTGCAAGAGGTGCCACTGGCACAGCCTAGCAAAATGTAACATCCAGCCCTTGCATTGCTTGCTCTGGGATGAATGATTCTCCTCTGCAAGACGATCATTCCTCCTTAGACCTGATGGTACTCCTTCAGTTCCTCGTCTGTCAAAAGCAGGGAAGTACTCAAAAAGCTTTCTGTGGATTGGAAGGTATAGCTTGCCAACATGAAGGACCCATGAACTTTGTCAATTAAATTAAAATAAAAATTTTTAAAAGTCTTCCATATCAAGCTAATTATGCTATCATAAACTGCTTTCCACTTCAGAGGGTTAGCAAACTCTCCCTTCTTCTGAAGTCTCTTTAAGTACAGGGTTAACAGAAGCACAACCTATTATTCTTTATTTTACAGCATAACTACCCAGTGTGTCAAGTCTATCAGCCCATATTGGATTTTAATGGGCATCTTGTGATCTGTCAAAGAAAGGAAGGATGCAGGGAAAAAACCCCACAAGATAAAGCCTCATTTTTGGTAGATATGCAACTGCAGTCCAGAGACCTGTTTGCTTTTGTCATGTGTAAACACATTTTCAGCACGCAAGTGTGTTTCTTCAGATGGCAGTGATCTTTGCTACTGTTCAAGAAGGTTTTACAGGATCCCTGTATTTGCAAGATCTACTGGCAAGAATAAGAATTGCCTTCTTACAACAGTCACATCTTGCACCCACCATACCCTTCAACAGTTCAGATCAGCTGTGGCCGTGCTACACACAGATACTTTGCAAGCAGAAAACCAACCCTCCCAGCTCTCCCTGTTCCTGCCCATTTCAAGGAGTAAAAAGCAAGAGCTAGACATTTACACAAGCCAGGAGTTTAGAGAAAGGTGTACACTGTTTGGAGATGACAAAAACGCCAAGCCCTAATATTTTACGAAGATTCTTGTTAAAAAGCTCTGGATAGAAGTATTATGCTGTTACCGAATTCATGTTAGATAGTTCTTTCCTGAAGGGAAAAATACATTATTAAGCTGGAAAAGTTACTTCTGTTAGATGATAGTATTTGAGAAGCTACAAGAATTTTTATCTTTAATTAGGATTTATGTAATTTAAAGTGCAAGTTCTGAGATCTCTTTTCCCAGCCAAAACTTAAAACTTGCAGCCAAAAAAGCTGGAAACACAGCAACTGTCAAGTCAGTACAAAGGAACAGTAGATAATACTTACCTTTTTCTCTTAAACTTTGTAAGCCATGATATTGATTTCTATTCTACAGACACCTAAGTGTTTTTGAAGTAATTCGCAGCTCATTTCCTTGACTGCTGTTATGCAAAGACATAGCTATTAAACATTTATCTCATATGATATTACATTAAAAGTCAATGCATTGACAAATTGAAAATATGAATGCGAGCCTATTATAAACCTAAGAGCACACAGTTGTTACAGATTATCCTGGAAAATGGAAAATATTGACAAAACACTAAGCAACTCTAGATTTAAAATAACTCTTTAAATACAGTGCTCTGTTTGTGAGGTCCTGGGACATTAAATATATTACTAAAACTGCACTGCCACATTTAGAAAGGAGCCATATGTTCACTTTGCAAACGTCTGTGGCTGTGTAAAGATTTACAGCTCTGCATCAGAGATCGTTAGTGCACAGCAGGTGACACTGAACTTGTGAACACAGCAGTTCTTTCACTGCAAAGTCTGGCACTTCAGCATGAATGACTTGGCAGATTTAACCTTGCACTGGAAGAGATACCTCTCCCTTGTTGCTCTGTATGAGCAGCTATACTGTCTAAAGTCCTGTGACTTTGATGCCACCCTCTTTAAACACCAGTTCACAGGTACGGGTCTTCATCGTCTCTTGCAATTAAACTCCATGTCCACAGGTTTAGTCTGTTTTAGTGAAGGTCTACAATACCTAAGAGAGAATTTGGTTAAAAGCACAATTTGTGACAGTGAATTGATTTTTCTGTTCGCTTCCTAGTTACTCTTTAACAGAATATTAAAAATAACTAACAGTGAGTGCTGTACATATTTTGTCCCTTTCCTATATTGGACCGTGATTCAAGTTACGTGCTTTCTAACAGGATAAAAAAATTCAGCTTTAATTTTTCTCCATCAGACAGTAAGGAAGTCTAAAAATAATCCACTAAGACAGTAAGATGAGTAAGAGTTATAATTAGTTACTCAGTAGTGATTGCTGTTTGACAGGTATTCAATTTGTCATAAAAGTTACACAGTAACAAATACAAAAAAACAAATGAAAAAGCCACAAGACTGTTGAAATGGCAAACTGTGACACCAGCAACCTGTCTAATGGAAATACCCAAAGAATTTAACATGACACAGAAGTTTATGTACTTTGGAACCTTGATGCTAAACCCCAAATTTTTAGACTAATGCATAAAAGCACATAGAATGTCTTTCAATGACACACAGCACATATAATAGCTCAACTCAAAGTGTTTCCCATCAGCAGATCTCATAACATCAGGAACCCCCTTAGTATTAAAAGGACAGAGTAATCGTGTCCAATCAAGTCTATTCACCAATTTTATCTCTATTTGTTCTCTTTCTGATCATTAAATGAGAGTCCTATTTTTACTTCAATTCATGGGAACCTTCTCGTTTCTATTTCAGTTCTGAAATCTGGTATCTATGGTTAGACACAACACTGTAGTTAAGGCTGGTTTAGTTTGCGTAAGGTCTCCTTTCCCTTCTCCCACTAATTAACACATTCTCAATCTAATTCACATTTTTCATCTCCAGCTGGAAAGATTTCTTTAGAGAGAGAATTTGCAGTCTGAGCTGGAAGCACTATCAACACATTCAATGAAATGACCTAAAGGTCTCCAGATTTAAAACGCAGAGCACAATACGCTTTCTACTAACATTTTAGAAACTTCAGTAGCAAAGCATTGGTATGATTTTAAAGAAAATTAACTATGCTGCTGCTTGTCCATCCTCACACCAGCTGTGCTGCTGTGTTCCATTAACGCTACCGAAATCAATGCAGCATGAGGAGAATTCAAG